CGCCACGTCTTTGCTCCGCATATCCCTGGTCTGCTGGGGGTGCCCCCCCAGCAGACCAGAGAGACGTGGAGCAGCTTTTCTCACCCCGGAGGATGTGGGTGGCGGGACCACAGCGCGTCTGGGCGGTCCCGCCGCCCGCGTCCTCTGGGGCGAGAAAAGCCCCGTTCGTAAGTACGGATCCAACATAAGTCGGATCCGCGTAACCCGGGGGACTGCCTGTAATTTACCTCCTCAAGAGGCAGGTAACAATAATTCGTCTATTGATCTTGTGCTGTCCATATAAGGGCTTGGGTTGACTCAACACCACTTGGGTATAGGTATTTTATACCCCTTACTGACAATGAAACTAAGCTAATTTTTTAGCATAGACCAGATCAAATCCAGGCACTCTAGAGGGAGCCCTGCAGTAAAATCAAAGAATTGTAATAAAGCTGAGAAAAGTCTTAGTCCAAGCGACTTTGGTGCATACTGTTGGGACATAAAAATTGCTTCTTCTCCCCCCCCCGCACCCGCCCCAGCAGTGAATTTGACCCCAAATATTTTAAGTATATTACTTACCCAGGACTACAAAGATGATTTTCCAGTACCCTGTCTTTGGCTCTAGGTGAGAAAAACAAAAACAACAAAAAAATAAACCTCTATAACATATAAGGGGAATCACAGCCACACAATTTCTTCCAAAACATTTTCTGTATATCAGACATATTATAAGATTTTATTGGTGAGCGCTAGAAAGGAAAATGTATTAAAAATCCTCCCCATATTGCCAGCTATACAGAATAGTCCTTCCAATTTTTAAAGGGATATCAAGCACTGTAACACAATAGCCTCTTTCAGCAGAAGAGAAAGCTCAGCAGTATTCTGAGTGGCTGGGAAAGGAAGAAGTGCCTACTATATCACTGTAATCCCACCCAGAAAACACTCAGGGAGCCACCTTCTCCACTGGTCTGAGCGTGCAAAGTTTCACTGAATTAAACTGAACTTTTTCTGCCAGCTGCTCTTTCCAGCCTGTCTCTCCTGGGTGACGTATGTGATATATGGCAGCAATGTCCCTCTGCAATGTATATTAGACACACTGGTCAGTCACTTTGCCAGAGAATGCTCACAGATCAGACAGCTCTACACAAAGAAACCTGTTAGCCGACATTAAAACCAAACTAGCCATTCCCTTAAACAACTGACAACATGCGTCTTACTTCAAAGAGATTTTCCTCCTTCCTTGTCTCCTTCTGGTCCCCTCGCCCCCACCTTCTATTCTATGTAGCTGATTCGTTACTGTAGAATTTGTTTACTTCATCATATCCCTCTGTTATATAATGCTCATGTCATTTCATTTTCAGAGTATGATCCGAAGAAGTGGGTCTGCCCCACGAAAGCTCATTACCTAATAAACCACCTTCTTGAAGTGCTACATGACTGCTTTTTTTGTTTGTTTGTTTTACCAAGATCAGACTAACACGGCTTCCTCTAACTTTGCTGTATTTTTTGGTGTGACAGAACACTTTCTCGCTTTAAATCCTGTTGAGGGACTGACAAACCTACAGCCCAAAGAAGGAAGACAACTGAAAATCCACTCACCTTCACAAAGAGGAGAGGGGTGGCTCCATGTTCCAGATGTAGTACAATAGATAGAAGCCTCTCCTCCGAGGGCGTAGCCGGGCTCACAGCTGTAGTTAACATACGTTCCACTGGGGAAAGCCGCCAAAGAACTGGCATCATGCTTTCCATAGTGAGTGGCCGGTGGTGGGGGACACATCAAGGCTAATGGAGGAGAGAAGAAGAAAAGTATTTCAGAGAAAATCTGAATCCTGTGTCCTCCTCCTCCCCCCAAAAATAGTTTAAAATGGCTGATTTACAAGAGGGTGAAGCACCCAGGATGCATGTGCTACGTCGAAACATCTATTGTACTAGGGACGCAATATATACACAGATTGAAAACCACTTACCTAGAGTCCCTTTCGCTCCAGAACTCAAATAGCACCACTCTGCAACTTTTCTGTTCCTAGAAATCTGTGACTCTCTTAAGAAGCTAAACTGTAATTTCTTGAGTGGGATGATTTGTGTTTCCATTCACACCTTTCGGCCGTTCAGGGAGACCGACCATTGCCAGCTCTATGTCCGTCAGGTGAGCATGGCAGGATGCAGGGGACTATCACAGTGAAGATATTATGGGGTAGGACGATATTTGTATTTTCCCTAGTCACTGTTGAAAACTGACGCCAGGACAGAGGAAACCTATTAACCTCCAGGTCATACTGACTATTACAGTGATCCTTGACTCACACTTACATTGTATGCAGACTGGAACAGGAGGATGCCAAGTTGCATCATCTCCGCACTCAATCTGCCGGCTGCCATCCAGGGTATAGCCAGGATCACATTCAAACCTCACCCTGTCCCTGGGTCTATAGACAGGGCCACGTCCAGCTACTTGTCTTCCATGCTGGATTTTTGGGCCATGCAGAGAACCTCTGAAACTGAACAGGTGCAGAAGGCATCAGCCTGCCTGGCAAGCAGTTCTGTTCAGTAGGTGCTTGGCACCTCAGCACTGCCCTGGTTGCCTCCCAATGTCTGGGGAGAATTGATGGTGTTGTTTTTAACTTCTAAATGCAAATACTTCAGTGCTAGCCTGCCTAAAATCACATTCCCTGGGGAACTGAATTGCTGCTCCTTGTCTGGAACAGAGGTGGCTATCCCTCAATGACAGAGACAGCAGGGCTGGCAGGAGAGCTTGCTGTGAGTGACCCTCAGTTTGGCGCCTGCACCTTGTACTTGTTCTTAAAACAAAGGCCTGTTTGCATTTCAGGACTCACACTAAAAATGTTCCCTGTTCACTCAGCATGTAGCAAACATAGGGAAAGCATACCTGCCTGTGAGCTTGAGGGGAGCATCAATATTAGTTTCTAGTTTTTCTAATTTAGGTGCACAGGGTTTCAGACACTGCTTTTTAGGAGTGTAGTGTTTACATACACTGCCTTTATTTTTAAAAGCATTGGTTTACCCTGTTCTTAATGAAACAGTTTTAATTCACTGCAATTAATTTTGTAGCATTAGTGAGCTTGTCTATGAGTGAAATCCTGTAATAGGAGCTTCTTTCTCTTAGTTCTAGGTAAGAAAGCATAAATACACCTTCACACCAACAGTATGCAAAGAGAAGGGAAAAATTGCTCATCTAGAACCCCCCTCTGCTCTCAGAGCCCTTTCCAGTACCACTCCCAACATGGTTCATTTCTTATTCTCCATATATTTTACCACCTTTACACCTCTCCCCTCAAATCAGTTTGTGAAGTCTCTTGATTTGAGGTGAGCAGCAGGCAGAACAGATCCAACCTGGGTTAGTGTTCAAGAAAGACACCGGAGGAAACCTTCTTGTGGGTGAATACTACAAATCAGAATTTTGACATTTGCCTCACTCACAGACCAGCACAGACGGATTCCATATGCCCTCAGGTTGGCACTGACTCACTCTGTAACCCTTCATGGTGTAGACAGTATCACATTCAAAGGTCACGCTGTCTTTATACAAATAAACATGTCTATCATCAGAAACTCTTCTTCCATTCGGGATTTGTGGGGCTGGGCATCCAGCCTCTGAAAAAGGAACGCTTTAGCTGAACTCAGGGCCAGATAAGAAGAAATAAACCTCTGCAGACCTTAGGTTTTCAACATTTTCCTTGTCACTTGTTGCACTAGTCTATAACATTCCTACTTGAAAATACAGATTGTTGTGGGCAATGTAGAGGGCTACACTGGGAGATGGAGATATCCTGGTAACAGAAGCTTCAGTGGGTAGCTGAGTTAGTCTGTACAGGATAAACTTAAAAAACAACAAATGGTCTGATAGCACGTTATAGACTAAGAAAACATGTAAATTGCATCATGAACTTTCGTGGGCACAGCCCACTTCTTCAGATGACCGGTCTTGTTAAGGGTTCTATCCTCAAGGAGTGTCCTGTGCATCAACCTCCAAGTCAAGGGAGTAACCCATGGTAAGGAGAAGCTCAACCTTAACAGGAACTAAGTGCCCTTCTGAGCCACGGACATCAGACACTGAGGGAGCTCAGTAATTTAGCCCAACATGAACAGGATGCTCCCCCACACTGAATTTAGCCCACAGAGCTGCTCAGGATGACCTTGCTAGCAACACCAGTTTCCAAACCAAATCTTAAGCTTTAAACTAGTGCTCTTCTCTATCTGATCTGAATCCTGGAAAACTTTGTGGCAATGTCGTCAAGGGCAGGCACACCAAGTGCAAGTATTTAACTAGAGAAGTCATCCTTCAGTGTCCCAGTGTGCCTTCCATTGCTAAATGTCTGGAGGAGGTAAACATGGAATACCTGGAGAGATACAGGCAGAGTGTATTTGAGAATCAATACCGGTAAAGAAGCAGCTCCTGTTACTTGATCTGCTAAAGAAAACTAGCTGTCCTAGCTCTGAAAACCACTAGAATGGACTAGCTCAACAGGGAATGGCCCTGGGGTGTCTGATTTGCTCTGGCACTGATGTTAAGAAAATCAAACTCACTAAGACAATTGATGACTAGACCAGTTTCCAACTTCATGGTTGATTAAAAACAGAAACTATTCACAAAAATAAAGGGAACAAATCTTGCTATAATTCTCTACCTGTAGCATGAAACTGCCCTGTCACAGGCTACTTTTGCTTTGTTTACTGAGACAGAGCTGTGTCTCTAAGAAACCAAGAGTGCCTAGTACAGTGTTTCTCATCCAGGGTATGTGCACGTCTGGAGTACACAGAGGTCTTCAAGGGGATAAATCAACTCTTCTAGATATTAGCCTAGTTTTCTGAAAGGCTACATTAATAGCACTAGCAGAATAGGTACACACAAAAATTTCATGCAGACAATAACTTGTTTATATTACTCTACACAGTGAAATTTAAGTACAATATTTATATTTCCAATGTATTTAGGAATTTTAGAATTTATATGGTAAAAATGAGAAAGAAAGCAATTTCTTGGGAGTTATATATTATGACACTTTGATTTTTATGGCTGGTTTTGTAAGCAAGTTGATTTTAAGTGAGATACAAGTTGGGATATGCAAGTGAAATCAGACCCCTGGAAGGAGTACAGTAGTATGGAAAGATTGAGAGCCACTGGCCTAATATACACAAAGTGTGACACTTCCATACTTTCTGGAGGAAGATCATAGGGCACTCTATTGAGGAAGGGATTTCAATATCCACTGTTTTATTATTAAACTATTCCACACCTTTCAAGCATAGAAACACGTACCATTTACCTGCCGCATGACAATCTGGTGTGCACATTACCAGAGCACAAGTATGCTTTGAAGTGCAGCTATACCTGTTACAGTTTAAAAAAAAAATATCACAATGGCCAATTACTATCTTGGTGGAACAGTGTTGCCATATCAAGCTCATGGTTTCCTGCTTTTACTCAGGTGTCAAAGAAAGTGCAAACCCTTAATGTCAAGAACTTGATACAACACACTTTTCCCTGGGATCAAACTCTTGTAGTGAAGGTACCTACCGGGGACTTAGAAATTTGGATTAATTTTTGGCTCTACTACTGACCAACTCCTTAGATCATCCTAAATAAGTCACTTAACCTTTCTCTGTCTCAGATCTCCCACTTTAAGGGATGGGGGGGAAGAAAGATCATAATGCTTCCTTATCTGTTTATTAACATTTGTGAGGCAAGCAGATAGAGACAGAAGTACCCATATAAGTACCTGAAGAGATCTGTAATGAACTTACGCTTGCAAAAGGGCACACCACCACTCCATTCAACATGTGTGCCATTAATCTCACATCGTCTGTAAGGCTGTCCAATCAACTGGTGCCTGGAGTTAGGCAGAAGAATTATCAGTTGTTACCTATTCCTTTGGTGTTTGAGCTCTACTGAGAAACTCAAATATTTGAGAAGCTCTTCTCCCCAGTCACAGCAAGTGGGGACAAGGACCTCTAACTCTCGTATTTTTTTAAGCCAGAAGACCCATATCTTTTATCTTCTTACTTGTATCCTCTGTTCCTTACCACACCAGCAGGGTCATGTCCTGCCAGTAAATCACAAACCATAGGCAAACTAGTATCACCAGAACTTTTGGGCAGGCTACTGAGTGGTTGTTTTTATGCCAGTTCCACATATCTCACAGGAGACTGCAGCCATTCCAAATCATTTAAAGCAGATTTTAAACCCAAGACATTCCAAGCTCGGTCCTGTTCACTTGGCTCCTATCTCCACAGGAGATGTCTGTGCTCACCCAGGACTTGCAGGCAGAGCATTCTGCTGGGCAAACTGCAACTGCAGTTGGTGAAATCAATGACTGAGCAGAAACAATTTAAAAACAGGGAGACTTAGGCCAATCCAGCTTTCCTTTCTTGTCAAAATTACATTGACTGAGCCAGGGAGGAGCTGTGCTGGCGTATTATAAAACAGTCATCTGCTTACAAGAGATGGGGGAATACGAGAACATCCATTTTTGTTGCACACCTCCAAGCACAAATAGTCAGCTCAGGCATCGGAAACGTACCCTTCGTCACACAAGAAGTTGACCGTTGACCCAAACAGCGTATCTGTTAAAACAGCTTCGCCATTCTCCAGCTCTCCTGGATGACCACACGATTTCCCTGATAGAGAACAAGGCTAGGATTAAACTTCTCTTTTTCAAAGCAACAAATATCCCAAGCTTCTGTTCATATTTAACATGTCTCTCAAACCCAGCATTTAGAAGGGCCTAGAACGGGCATAGATGAAGAGCTTTTCTAGTCACTATTAACTATTTAAAGATACATTACGCTTTGCACCATAGACACAACATTGTGTCATTAAGATCTTACTGAAGAACAGAAACAAAATCCATAGATACACTCACTTTTACAGAACTCTAAGGCTTCTGACCACATTTGATTTTGAAGGCATGTAATAGTTGTTCGCATCTCTGGGATTATACTGTATCCAGGCAAGCAAGTATAGCCAATGGTCTGCCCAACAGGAAAGTAAGACTGATTTTTATACGTGCTCTTCAGCTCAGAAAAATTTAACCTCGTTGGGACACCGCAGCCACCTACCAAGAAATGATCACACACGAGAAAAAAGAATCCTATGTATGTAACAGGTCTAAGCAGAGAAAACAATGTGTTACAAAGAAACAACTATGCAACTGAAATAGTAATTATGGAACCAGTGTTCATCCCTAGAAAGGAAAATATAAAGGGAGCTAAAGTGTGAAATTATACCAATGTCAGCTAACTATAAAATCCAGTTCATACTGGTGCATCATTCCTTAAGCCAGACTCTAAATTAAATAAAAACAGACTCCAATACAATCATGCAAATTACAGAATTTATAAGGAGACAGCCCAGAGAGTGGATTCGTTGGCCCAAATGTCGTAGTTGTTCCCAACCGCCAACACACCACACGCTGCACACACAACCCTTCACAAAGTAGCCTCTCCATCGCACACACCACTCCCTTACCACCCCAAGATCCCAATCAGAACAAGCGCCCACACAACACAACCAGCACACACGGCCAGACCCATCATATAGCCCCACACTAAAGCACAAAGCGATTTTTCAGTCGCTACTTCCACAAATGAACACAGAGATCCCTGTCACATACCATGACACTGCACTTGTATTTCTTAGAGCCATTGGCCTGGGGTGAAGAACAGCTAGGAGAGCTGCCTAGATATGCAATATATAAACTTCCACTCACCACCTTCCTGACGTTCCCCAGTTCCACCCCTTTGTGGCTAGGGTTAGAGACCTTCGCCAGCCTTCCTACACACTTGGGACTATCCCGGTTCTGCAAACGGGGCTGCTCCAGAGGCGCATTCAAAGGTGCCAGTTTCCAATTTAAATCTTTAGCCCTGCCCTAAAACTATTTACTCTCTAATGTACATCATGGGAATCCTGTGGAGGTGCTGCAAAGGCAAGAACACTAAGTGCCAGGATTTAACTTATCTTCACGTTGGGGGATTTCTTAGACTACACTAATACAAACCCCACCTCCACAGTGAGGGGCACGTGGACGCCACACTCCGTTTAGTCCATCCTCGGTTGTGCATAAAAGAGAGGCCTCTCCAGTCGGCGGGTAACCGTTATCACATGTGTAAGTTACAGCTGACCCATAAGAGAATTCATCCATTAAGTCCCCATTGTGCTTTCCATTGGGGATGTCTGGAGGGGAATAACACGGAATACCTGGAGAGACACAGAAGGAGTGTATTGAGAATCAAACAAACACAGTCACTCCCCGGGGTTCACGGTATCGGAGATCTCTCACCAAAGACAACGATGTCCTATGTTACAATGCCAGTCCTCTATAAAACTAAGTAACACTTTATGAACAAGGTAGAAGAAGGTTAAAGGAAGCGCGCGCGCGCACACACACACACACACACACACACACACACACGAGTTACAATTTTAAGTTTCAAAAGATGACACAAGCTTCTGTAATACGCAAACTGTATGTATCCTTTGAGGGCAACCCGGGATGGTCAGAGGTCTACAAGTCTTCCTTGTTGAGCGAGAAATGCTATGTGTTGAAGTAAATTAGCATTTTCCACTGGGTAACGCTACTCTCCTGAGACTGGGGGTTGAATGTTATAGAGCAACTGCTTTTTCTATTTCCATACCAAATACAGAAAATAGGGTTTATAACATGGGATACAGATTTATAAATGAGATGAAGGCATGCAGCAACATCTGAGAATTTCATCAAGTATAAACTGTTCGTTGTAACTGAACATCTATTTTAACAACCCTAACACACAGATGAATCAGACAGGTTCCCAGCTTTGTATTCCTCAGTATTTTCTGAGGTGTGTGTCTATTTGCATGAGCTACCAGCATCTCACGTATTACACATTTTGCTTAGTGCCTTTTTCTGCTACTCAATTGTCAAAGTCAGAGTTCTTATGGTCAGGAACTTGATACAACACAGTTCTTCCTGAGCTACAACCCTTCCCACATATACCTATAACCCTGAGTGGCTCTTCTGGTTAAAGGATCGATCTGGGATGTGGAGATCTCAGTTCAATTTTTGTTCTGCTACTGACCAGCCTGGAGAAGTCATTTAATCTCCCTGTGCCTCATTTCCCCTTCTCTAAAGCAGGGATCATAATGCTTCCCTTAAGTTACATTTGCATGGCAAGCAGAAAAGAGGGGAAAGCACACAGACCGAGATTTGTAACCTACTTACGCTCACAAAAGGGCATATCCCCACTCCATGCGACATGGCTGCCAGAAATCACACATCGTATGTAAGACTTTCCAATCAACCGGTGCCTGCAAATAGGCAGAAGGGTTATCAGTTTTTACCTGCTCCTCTGCTGTTTGAATTCTCCTGCAAAGTTCAGTTATTTGGGACGCTCGTCTCCCCTGCCACAGCAAGTAGAGACCAACACTACTGACTACGGGTGTAAAGACTCCTTCACTATTTTAGAACTCTCCACCTAGAATTCAGTCATAGAAGAGAATCCTGTGCAGGCCCAATGAGCTGGTATTTGAGTCAGGGGATCCATATCCCCTCCCCATGCCCTCAAATCCTCCTTACCACATCAGCTGGATCACTCCCCACCATGGAAACACAAGCCACAGGCAAACTAGTAACAGAGTATTCCCCTGACACTGTCAGGAAGGTTGCTGGGAAGGGGGTACTGCTATGTCTGCGTTGTGTGGACTTTGGATTTTCTCTTGACACATGAGTTGTTTCTGTGGATGTGTGGGCTAAGCAGAAGCTCTGGCTAGGTCGAGATCGATCAATGAAATCAATCACCACTGATACAATCCATGGAATGGAGCCACAAGTCACCCCAGTGGAGATGCCCAACTACAAAGACACCACACAGCAACGCAGATCTGACACTAGAGTCACGGGCTCTTTCCTTTTCTACTCCCCCACCCCCTTCATCCCACTAGCATGATTTCCTGTAAATAGGAACCATCTGACACCACAGCTTCAGTGGGTTTGTATGAAAATATCCTCAGTGGTCTGACTTCAGCACTTTCCTAGGCTGGGTTTCCTTGCTAGTGAAACAGTTAGTGACTGAAGGCCTTGCCATTGAGGGTGAACAGTAGTGACTGAAAGCCTTTCCACAGAGCTCTGCACAAAGACAGCCATTGCCAAATGCAAGGCTGATTCCCCACCCTGGCACAATGAATCCAAAAGTGGGGGCCCACAAAAGTACCCCAAAACCTTCTCTCCAGGCTTTGGTATAAAACTTCCCCCCAAAATCCTAAAAACCTACATTTTGGGGATTAAAAATCCACTGCCACCATCAAGTGCTTTTGAACCCACAAACATAAGTGGCACCCAGACTCTTTTCTCCAAAGAGCTTGAAAAAGAAAAGAGAAAATACAAACTGCAGTCTGTGGCTGCTATCCCCTAATAAGAGGCATGCAGATCCAACAAACAGATTTTCCAGGACATACAACGGAACCAATATCAGGTTAATTAAAAAAAAAGAACTTTTATCATCACAAGAATACTCCTGTTATAAGCATAGTCAGATTGGCTAGATGGTAAAAGCTACCAAGTAGTAAAGTAATAAAATCATGGGGAATTTTCCCATGGGAACAAAACAGTTAAAGGGAGGAAAACATTTCTAAATGCACAGGTTCCCAAACCTTAAAATAATAAAAACAGATTTATGTTGACTTCGCCCTTCTTACAGATGGAGAAGGGTCTTTTCTTGGAGAGGGACATGTCTGTCCCCTCACTATCTGGCTCAAAAACAAAGGAGGGAAAACCCAAAACTTCCTTTGTCTCAGTTTCAAATCCCTATCTGCATTTCTATTAGCTGAATGCTACCTGGCTAGGTAAAGGGACATAGTTAACCCTTTACTCCCCAGTCTGCTGGCCATCCCTCATGATCATGACAGCCAATTATTCAAAACAAGAACTATTCACATGTGAAAACAGGTGTAAAATCCAAGACATTTCTTTGGTCATTTGGATTAAACTATGTTGCTGGAGCCACATATTTTTTATGGAAATGTGTTTTTTAATTTGACTATGCATAACACAAATATCCTTCATGCAAATTAGGGCATACCCTTGAAGAGCTTGTAATCCCCTGAATGTGTATATCCTATTTGTGTATCTGTATCGTTCTTGTATATGAAGTTAGAATTATGAAGTGTAAGCCCATTTATATATGTATATGTACTAACAGTGCAGATTAGCAGTATCCTAGGAAATAAATGGCCTGGTACTCAAAGTAATGATCTGTAAATAGTCATTTTTCCTGTGTGCCTGAATTGTTGTAGGTCATACAAAGGCAGGTGACCACGCATCTGGAGCTGGGTCCATGCTGAATTTTGTACTTTATCACAGAGTTAGGAGAATGAATCAAGATTTCCTGCCCTGGGGAAATGCCATTCAAGAAATGGGAAGCAAGCAATGATTCTTTTCAACTGGCTTCACAGACTGCTCCCCACCCCAGCAGGATACAGGAAAACCCCAGGAAACAGAAGAACTGTTAGAGAAGGGGGGAAAAGCTGCTAGGCTCAGGTAAGACAGAAGATCAGCTCTGGCCTAAAAAGACTTTACCTGAAATAAGAAGTAGGATGAGAAGTTATGATTTGTAACAACTTCGCTTGGTGTATTACAAATTCGCTTGATGGGAGAGTTTGGTTTTCTTTTGAGAGTCATTTATGTTTGATCTGTTTGTTATCACTTGCAACCACTTACATCCTACTTTTTATACGCAAAAAAACCACTACTCTTTATTATCCAACCCAGTATATTTGTGAGCTGGGGGAACAACAGCTGTGCATCTCTCTCTTTCACCAATGAAAGGGATGAACATCTTATGAGCGACTCTGTACAAACTTGATGCTTAGTGAGATGTGTTTTGGTCCCACGGGGCTCTGCACCAGAGTGTTGTGCCAAGTTCCCCTGACCGAGTCTTCTAGGAACTGAATTGCTCTCAGTGTCTGTGTTGCTCTGCTGCAGGTTGTGACCCCAACTCTGTGCCCTTGTGGGGAAGACCAGAACTTCTGGATAAGCAGGACATGATGATGGGCAATGGTCCCCCCAGTATTTTCCATCCCTGGGCAGATTTTATCCATTGATGTGCAGAATAAATTTATTTATGTGCACCAAGGCATGTGTGAAATTGCACACTCTGTGCCCTTGTGGGGAAGACCAGAACTTCTGGATAAGCAGGACATGATGATGGGCAATGGTCCCCCCAGTATTTTCCATCCCTGGGCAGATTTTATCCATTGATGTGCAGAATAAATTTATTTATGTGCACCAAGGCATGTGTGAAATTGCACCGCCAGTAGAAACAAAAATCAGGCTGCGGGCACTCTGCTAAACTAAACAACGGCACGGCATTTCATCTCTCCTGAGTGGCCACACAAGCACACGTCTATGGGGAACACTGGTGGTACAGTGCCCCACGGGGAAGGTAAGTAGCCTCAGTGCTGTGATCAGCTCCCCAAGTGACCCAACCCATCACACCTAGTCTCCACAGGAGACATCTGTCCTCATCCAGCACTTGCAGGCAGAATATTCAGTTGGCCAAAGTGGCAACTAAAGATTGTACTAGAAATGGTAGATCCAAAGAAAATGCAAGGGAAGAGGAAAGTGGGAGGCTTATGTTAATCAATCTGTTTTCACATACAAAGAAGATATTGATACTAGAATCAGGAAGAGTAATCCTCTTACAGGAACTAGGGGAGTATGGGGATTTCTCTTTCTGTTGCATAGTTGCAAGCTAGGCCCAAGTAGTCGGCTCAGGCAATCAGAAACATACCCTTCTTCACATGTGAAGCTGACCATTGACCCAAACAGCAGATCTGTGACATTAATTCTGCCGTTCTCCAGCTCTCCTGGATGACCGCACGATTTCCCTGGTAGAGGACAAGAGGAGAAACATGTTTTGCTCTTTCTAAGCAACAGTTATCCCGAAGTTATCCCGAGGCTCTGTCCATATTAAACAGTCTGCACAGAAGACCTCACTGAAAAGAGCCCAGAGTGGGCAACGACACAGAGTTTTACTGGTCATTATTTACTGTTTAAACATGGGTTACGTTGTGTAGCGTGGATGCAAATGCCATTAGGACCTTTAGCAAACAGCAGAAACAAGTAGCATGTAGACACTCACTGTTACAGAACTCGAGTGGTTCTGACCACGTTCCATTTGGAAGGCATGTAATAGTGGGTCGAATACCAGGGTATCTAGTGTATCCAGGCCGGCAAGTATAGTTTGCAGTCTTCCCAACAGGAAAGTAGGACTGATTTCTATACTCGCTCTTCAGCTCAGCAAAGCTTAACCTTGTGGGGACACCACAGCCAACTGGCAAGAACAGAAACACATGTGAGAAAAAACAGGGTGATGAAAAGAATATTTCAGTGATAAACGGAACTCTTCGAAAAGGAGCTTAAAATATGCTGATCTACAGGATGGGAGAAAAGGTTCAGGAAGCTTATGTTCTACAAAACCAATTATTGTACTATGAATGCAACAGGAAAAAAAAGAGATTAAAAATCACGGACCTAAATTCCATTTAAGCCCAGAACTCAAATGGTCCCATCCTTCTACTTTACAGTCCCTAGAAATCTCCCGACTCTCTTAAGGATCTAAACTG